CAGAGTCCTTGCCCAATGCCCATGATAGAGCCGAGGCTCCACTGGACGCCCAGCTTAATCGGGCTATCGCCGCCCTCCTTCTATGGTGGATTCTTCGGCCCCCTACAGCCACTAGGGCCATCATATACTCCCAGATGGCGGCACCTAGGGGATGAGGGGGGGGGGGGTGTCTGGGCCACTTGTCCACCTCGTGGCGTCGCCAGCGAAGCCTGCGAGTCGGAGCAAATGATTATGGGGTCTTCCTCGAAGGACGAGTGCATCAGGAGATGTTGCTTTGCCGTCTTGAGCGCCACCATCTCAGATCGGTAAATGGAGCAAATCCTCCCCGCCGCCTCCCGCAGTACCAATGTTGTACTGTCTGGGTGCTCGGTGAGGACCCCAGCGCCGCCTTCCTATTACTCCCCCGGTCGCAGACCCGTCGACCCAGGCCCACGTCGCACGCTGGGGGAGCGCTCCCAGGCACGCCTCCGCAGCACTCCTCCTCGCTGTCGTGGACGCCCCGATCGGCAGCAGGTCCAGGTGGACCGTGACGCCGTCTGTTGGCGTCTACGGGGGCAGTCTCGTGGATAAGCGCGCCTCGGCGGGCAGCGCCACTCCAGTGGTCCCACACTGCTCCCCCGCGCTCTCTCCAGCCGGTCACTGACTTCAGTCACGGTTGGGGGGGGGGGCTTCCGCCACGACGCGGCGGGTCCTCCGACGGGAGGGAGAGCGCCTTCGCCAGTAGGCGCGATGCCAGCGCATCCCTCCTCATCTCTCCATCGGCACGACGCCCGCCTCGGCCCTCACGGCGAGTCTTGGAGCATGGAAATCGGGCAGCCAGTGATGACTCATGCCACCATCAGCATCTCCGCCTCCAGGACGCCAAGATGTGTGGCCGCAGCCGCAGGCAGCCACGCCGACCCCGCTGCCCGCATGCCCAAGTAGTCTCGAATCGCTGACACCTCTCCTGAAACAAGAGTGGTGTCGTAAACTTAAACCCCTTGCTGGCGCCCGCCAGCCGCGACAACACCGCCACACCAATTTTTGTGACCCCGGAACTTCCGTCCCGAGCCTTATTTCACGGCACGATGCTACAGTGCGCTACACGTATTGTGGTATTCAGCTTCCATGGAAACATCAACTAATTTGGACGCTCAAACATGGGAGTCAGGAGTGGTTAAGGCCCAGAGCGTTCTGTCTGGTTTATAAAACCTTGGCCAGCAGATGTAAACGTGCTTTTTGTATAAGTGGCTTAATTTTGACGCAAAAGGGCACTAACCTTCGGCGCAAATAATGCAGAAATTTCAGCGCAAATTGCAAAATAGCTTGCGCCGAACTTCGGCGCATGACGGCTTCACGGGCGTCCGGCGTACCATATGGATGTTTTCCAGTTTGGGCTGCAGGTTTTAGCTCTAGGTTTTAGACTGTAGGTTTTGGATTGGGTTGGGCTGGGCTGGGCTGGGCTGGGCTGGGCTGGGCTGGGCTGGGCTGGGCTGGGCTGGGTTGGGCTGGGCTGGGCTGGGCTGGTTGGGGTGGTTGGGTTGGGTTGGATTAGGTTAGGTAAGTTTAGGTTAGTTTAGTTTAGGATAGATATGAATACCTATTTTTTGTAAGTTGAATTACTTTTTTCATTTTGTAGCATCATATGCCTTCCATCTTTAAACTGCCATATTCAAGCACCAGAATAAGTATGGACTTGAACCTTTTCCAGTCTGGATGCCTGTATGGAAGTTGTGCAAAATCATGCAGTTGAAGGTATTGTAACCACAAATAAGAGCTCATGACTCAAGTCTCAACTTGTCCATAATTGGTTATCTTGATGTATACTTGTAGACCCTTCCTCTTACTTGGCACACAGGCATGGTGTCACAGTGTTCTAAAATTGGATTTCAATTGGGTGTCCCAATAAAAAAATCTGAAGACAAAATGAGATAGATTTAGTCTTTCCGCAAAACTGCATAATGCCATTTTTTACCTCAGATTTTGTCAGAACCTTCAAAGGATCTGAAATGAAATGATGTAGAGTAGATGCATCAACTGTCAAGTCATGCGTAACCTGGCAGCTGGCTGTTAAATCAAACTTTTGACATATTTTTTTTAGCAAAGATGAAATAAATCCACTTGTCATATTTTTAGGATGAAAATATTTGGTAAATGTCAAGTTTAAGTCCTAAGAAGATTTCATTGATGAATTTTTCATATTTTTACATTATTTGACATCCTGAATCCAAAAATAATACTCATATGTCTCGCAAATAAAAGAAAAAAACATAATCAAACCTGACCTAACCTTACCTACTTACCTATAACCTACCAACCTACAACCTACAAACCTACCCTAACCTAACCTAACCTACAAACCTACCTACCTACAACCTAAAACCTACAAACCTACAACCTAACCTAACCTAAAACCTGAAATTTTTGCTGTTTCATATTCGTATCAAAAGCGCCACAGTTGTAGTTAGGACCTAAACTTGACATATACCAAATATTTTCCCCATCATGTGTGGATATTCACCTAAAATTCTGAAACATGGAACACTGCCATACCAGCATCCCATCATGTCAACCAGCATTCCGCAGCATGTTAGCAGAAGCAGCAGCATGTTATAAGTATATGAAAGATCCAAATAGGTTGTAGGTTGGTAGGTATTGGTACTAAGTTTAACTTAATAGGTTAGTAGGCAAGGTTAGGATTAATTTTAGTTGAGCATCAAGATAACCATTACGAACAAGTAACAAAATCCTTACCTACCCTTGAAAGTATTGCTTCAATCACATCATCACGAAGAACCAGACAAAAATTTTGCACATTCTTACACTATTTGACATCCTGAATCCAGATATGATGCTTTCATGTGGCGCAAATACAAGAAAAACGAATAATCAAACCATTATAGAGTTCAGTGAATCAAACCATAGAGTTCAGTGATCAAACCCGTGCGTATTCGTATCAACGGCGCCACAATTGTAGATCAGACCTTTTCTGAACAAATGCCACCACAATTTAATTGATAAGGGATTAAAATGGCATGAGCATCAACATCTTGATTTTTTCTAAAAGATAGCGATAACTGATAACTAATAACTTACCATTCATTTTGAAATCACGGCGGTAGGTACACCAACACATGGCACTGAAAACAGCAAAAGACGGAATGGCGGAATGTCGTATGGAGCCCTAAAACGCAGCTCGAATTGAGCCCGAAAAGGAAGACGAACTGATGCCGCTTTCGGGGCTAATGTACTTTGAGCCCGAAAAGGGCGCCTAACTGATCCCGATTTTAAAATCATACAGATTTGAGCCCTGTTTTGGCACTCATATGAGCCCTTATTCAAAAATGTTCTCAAAGTGTTTTCTGAGTGTACTCTACCGACGTGGAAAACCGTATCCTCGAGCGCCTACAGGTCTGACATCCTTTCATTTTGCACTATTCATGGATAGACATGTTTCCCGTGCTCCAATTAACCCAAGGCCTAACATTGACACATTTTGCAGGTTGATTTTCATGTGTTCGTTGTGTATCCGAAAATGTTGATTTAATTCACTTATGTAGATTTTGACATCACCGCCTGACACTTACTAGTTACTATGTGCAGTTGGGACTCCGAGTAGTCTTCTCTCGCCAAGTTTCGTAGAACTCTTTCCTTACCGGAACTCCTGCCTCCCTGTCCTGCGAGAGTTGGCTTTTATCTTTGAGCACGATAGTTTTTAAATCCAGACCTAGTATATTAGACTTTTATCCGAGCAATGCTTCTTGAGGGACTGTTATCCCTTTCTTATCTCATTTTCCTCGTCCTTTGAGAGAAAACTGCACATTGCCCACCATTGTTCAGCACGCCCACCTGCGCTATAAGACTGTTGTTAACACGCTGTTCAGTTCTTGCCCCGCACCTCACGCAAGGAGATAAGTTACTGGCGTCATATAACCCTCAGAGGTTGGACACGCCACCAAACCCAATCACCATCATGTATTTTTAGTAATTATGCAATCTGATTCGAGTGATCCTACTTAGTATAACCGTTAACCCGGCAGTTGCTGGGGTATTTCGCCACCCACCGTTTGCTGGGGGGGGGGGGGGCGTTAAACGCCCCCAGCCGATAACTCGAGAACCAATAGGCGCAGCGAAACGCACGAGGCGGCAAACGAAAGAGCGCGACGAGACGCTTCAGATGAGTACTTTAAAGTTGAATTTTGAGGTCACAGGTCGGGTCAAGGTCAGGTCAAACACCTGAAATCGGGCTTTCAGTAGCATGGACTTGAGGACTTCGCAATGGGCGCCTCTCGCCATAAACTCTGTCAAAACGGTGCACAATCCATCTTATAAGGCCTACAAGAGTGACAGCTCCATGTAGGGGTCAGTCAGGCATAGGTCAGGGTCAAGGTCAGGTCAACCGGGTAGGCACATATCCCCGAAAATCAAAACTGATATTCGCAGCCTGTGACACATGTTTTTTAGGTAATTTGGGGCGTAGAACACGATGGTGACATTCATTTTATCATATATGTACGTGTTTGGCTCAAAAAGTTCAATTTAAGAAATTCATGTATCATGGTCGTAAAGTAGTCACGAAAAATTGCCAAGATTCACTTCAAGATTATGGAAAATGCGGAACGATAATCAATAATCGAAGATAGCCATTTGATTGATCATGGTAATGGCAGTCTAATGACGTTTACGGCATGTCTGTATGTCTATTCTGTGATTTTATATGATTTTTTGAACATATGCCGTTTTTGGTCGAAAACTCAGAAATCATGACGTCACTAAAACCTCGATATCTCAAAAATTTTCCGACCGATTTTTCTGAAACTTTGTCACAATAAACTTCAATCAATTCCCTACAGGTACCCAAAATTTGGCGCGCCTGCGGCGCGCCGTTTTGATGCTATGGCCCGGCGAAAAAAGTGGAGGCGTTTAACGCCCCCCCCCCCCAGCAACTCGCGGGTTAAAGCGTGAGGTTGACGTGTGCTCGGCGTCTCTTAGTTATTAATGTGTATCCTCAACTTTTGCAGCTGGCGAGCTCGGACCCCCTGGTGCCTCTGCCGACATGTGCCTGCAAGCAGGGGGATGTCGTCCCGGTTTTCCCCATGCATTATTCGCCAATCAGCTTAACACTACCAGTGACGTCACTGGTGGATCGCCAATCGGGGCCGTCCGGCCGGCCGGCCGGGCCCGTAGGCCAAACGCAGACGTTTTCAGAAAAGCGTAAGCCGTATAGATACAGTCGTGGATGGAGTTTTGCTGTGATTCGGCTCTCCAAGAGTGCGTCAGCGGACCAGGACCCGGATAAAGGTCATAGTGAACCGGCATCTGATAAAATCCGCTCACGGCTTAGCAGCCGACTTCGACCCTTCGCCCTCGTAAAGCACAAAAGCTTGCCGGTCATTAATCCATCTGCATCTTCTCATCTGCTTAATGCCTATATCGACCAGCTACTGCAGCCGTTTTGGAGCGGCTCACGGCCAATAACACGCCGGGCGTGCGCTAGCCGCCGGTGCTAAGCGCTAACCATTGAGTGCGCGTGGCCGACTGCCGCCCCGATGGCGCTGGCCCCCGGCACCGACACCGGCGCGGCGCCGCTGACCCATGGGGGGGGGGGGCTGCTAATTAGTTGAGCCGGAATTGGGATAGAAGCCGGTATGGGATTGGGATAGAAACTCAGCGAGACTAAGGGATTGTGTTGTGCCTTCGGTAGGCCCCCAAAAATCACCGGTGTAGTGCCCTCAGGGCCACCGGTTATGAAGCCTTTGGAGGCACTGGTGTGGGCCCTCAGAGGTAGGTACCGGTGTGAGGCCCTCGGAGGCATTGGTGCGGGGCCCCAGAGGTACCGCTGTGGGCCCTCAGAGGCGCCGATGAGGGTCCTCACAGTTGCCGTTGTGGGCCCTCAGAGACACTGCAGTGTGGGCCGTGGGGCTGTCACACAGTCGGGTGTGGGACCCTTAGAGCTGCTGGCTCGAACCCTTTACAGACCGACAGGGGCTCTCAGAGACCGACAAGGGGCCCTCAAGAGGTCTGCGGTGTCTTCAGGAGCCCTGTGGAGTCCTCAGAGACCAGCAAGGTACTCTCAGACGCCGGTGGGGGCCCTCGGAGCCGTCGGTGTGGGTCCTGAAAAGTCACCGGTGAGTGGCCGTCCGATGCGAAGGTCCCGTCTTAGGCCGTAAGAGGCTCCGGCGTTGAGCCCTCAGAGCCGCCGATATATGGCCTTAAGAACAGACTTGTGCCGTGACCAAAAATCAAGATCCAGGATCCTCAAGGTCCCACGGCAAATTCAATTTCTAGAAGAAGCACTGGTTTGGGCCTTTGGAACTTCATTCAGGGTTGCCAGTTGAACTCAGAGGTGCCAGTGTGGGGCCCTCAGCTGGGCACCGGTTTGGGGCTTTCACAGCCACCGGTGAGGGCCCTCGCAGGCGCCGTTGTGGGGGCCTTCAACCATTGGTTTAGGGGGTCATCACAGGCGTGTGTGGAACCCTTAGAGCTGCTGGTCCCTGATAGGCCGGTAAGGGCCCTCAGAGGCCGGCAAGTAGCCCTCAGAGGTCGCCAATGGGCCCTGAGAGGCCGGCAAGGGGCCCTCAAATGCCGACAAGGAACAATAAAAAGCCGGTGTGTGGCTCTTATGGAGAGAAGTGTGGCTATTCGGAGCACATAAGGTATTCTTTCGAGCCCTGTGGGGCCCTTCTGAGTCGAAAATGCCAGCGTGGACCCTCAGCCGCCAATTGGCGTCGCATGCGACGCCAAGGGGCCCTGCAGGGCCCCTCGGGCCCGAGAGGCCCCCTGATCCGATGGGGGCACGTGCCCCCTGCCCCCCTCCGGGTACAGATAGAGAATGCAATCGGCGGTGCGGGACACAATTTCCTTCTCCCGTCGCGAGGTCGCCCATCCGACCCATATCCCAAGATTGTCAACCGTGGGGCTCGGGTCGGCAATGTATCGGCAAGGAAATCAGCTTTAGGTGGGTAAAAAAGTTATTTAGGGTCATAAGTTGTCGTTACGTTCAGTAATAACAACGATGAAGTGCCAAATGTACCCGACGTACGGCTTGGAGCCGGGCGCCGCGCGGTCTCCACCAGTGACGTCACGCTAATGCTTAGCGACCGGTCCATTGGAAATTGCGGGATGATTCTACCTCTCTTATACGGCCTTGCCTGCAAGAAACCGGCGCTGATGGACATCAAGCTCCAGCCAATCAAGCGCCTACAAGCTGCTCTGGCCGCGAACGTGTATCTGGCGACATTGAACCGTCACTAGAAGGTACGTTTAACAAGCTTGAATTACGATTTTAGTACAGGATAATGTATCGCCACTGCCCAAAACTTCATGACATCGAGCTGCCCAAAAGCTAGCAATTTAGCTCACAGCTGAAGTAGGTCGCCCGTCTCATCTTATCCACTTTTCCGTGAACTGAGAGTGAGAACTGCTTCTCCTTTTGCGAGAATGCCTCTATTACCGTTTGTCGACTGTTATTTCTGTTCAATGAGCTGAAATAACATTAAAGGCGTTGTTAGGAAGGCTAATCAATGTCAACCACTTTAATGAGCCGGTCTTTACACGAACTATTTCGCATAGCGGTAGCTCAGGAAGTTATCCCGCGCCAAGCCGGTGCTCGGCGCCAACCGTGCCGGGCGGAGGTGTTTGAACACTCACCCACTCCTCTAACTCGGCTCCTGAGCCACGTAGCGACACGCGGTAAGTGGCATTCGAAAGAACGTCCAAAATCAGGACGAAAACACATCGGCCATTTTTTAGGTAAGGCCAAAGATCAGGTCACCGGAGGTCATCAAAGGTAAAATGATGCCTATTTCAACATTTTCAAAACACCGGTGCATAATTCGGGATCCAATAGAGCCACAGAGCCGCGGAGAAGCGCACTCGATAGCTCTCTTAGTGTTCTTTCTGGGGTGTGTCCTCAGATTCGACCTCAGGGCAACGATTTAGCCTCTAGAGGGCAAAAACTGGAAAAATTGTAATTTTTGCGAATTTTTTTTTTCTGTAATAACTTTTAACTCAAGAGAGGTACGACACAACATTTATTTTGGCAGCGTCGAGTTCCTCTCGTCGAGACGCGTCGAATGCACTATAGCTTGACAGTAAAAGGTCAATATGAAAATTTGACCTCACGTCACGGTAATTAAACTGACCGGAAAAGGCCACTTTGCATATCAGTATAGCCAACCTTAACACATCTGAGGTATTTTCATCGCTCTAGCGTGACTCCATGTCCATCAAAAGTTATTGTAAAAAAACTGCCGGGGAATTTTCATGACCTGAGATGACATCAGGAACATAGGGATATGTCACAAGTGCAATTTTCCAATGCTGTGGGTCGCATTTACCCGTATCCCGATGCTGGAGTGTCTAGAATGCGTTAGTCCAAAAGAGACGCCTTTCAATTTCTCCCATTGACTTATAATTATAGGGAGACCGCAAAATTGACCTGACCTTAGGTCACCGATATCAAAATTCCGAGATACAAATTGTATGCGTCCTGTTGCTTTTGTCGATTGCTGAACGTTTCAAAGTGATCGTTTGATCGGTATAGCTCTGACGAGCATTCTAACTTTTTCTGAGATGGGGTCATTTGATTGACCTGGTGACTCGACCTTAAACGATCTCTATCGGAATTTTTTTGCAGCATGTGTGTAAAAGATGCATGAACAAGTGTGGTTAAACGGCGGCGCTCCGCGTCGTCCAAACACCCCCGGCCTGACGCGAGCTATTCAACCGGCTATCATGCAGCTACGCGTAGGCGAACACTTTTATAATTTTAATGTAATCATAGATGGGATGAATATTGCTTTTTACTATGTTATCATGTATTGTTTCCGGGTTTACTATGTGTGCACGGTGGACGACATATTATTACGTCTCTTTTTGTAGCCATACATCGGAGTCATACTTTGGCACTTCACGGCAATATCCACGATGAACATTCAATGCTTAAGTCCTATAATTACCTGACGACTCTTACCTCCTCTGTCCTCTCCTCAGCACCGGCACTGTGGCCCCGGTCGGTTCGTGGCGTCCCCGTCTGGATCTTCGCTGGACATCCGGATCTTCGCTGGACATCCTCGCTGGACCATCGGCGCCGCCGGCCGGCGTCTGCGGGCTCAGGCCGGCCGTGTGCGGGCTGAAGCCGCCCGTCGGTGACGACGCCGTGCACGCGGTGCCCGGCGAAGTACTCGGCTGGTTACCGGACGCTGGCGACGGAGTGCCCGCGGGCGGCGACAGATAGGCCGCGAATCCCGGCCGGTCTGTGGCATCTCCGTCGGGATCTTTGCTGGACGTTCTCGCTGCCGCTGGACGTTCGTGCTTTTGCAGCGGTGGTGGATGATCAGAAACGTGTACTCAGAATTTCGCTGCACGATAAGTTGAAGGAAGGATCCCTCGTGCATCTACTTTGATACCATGCCATTTGCGATTGCGCCGAAGCCCTCGAGACCGCGTTGGTTCAATTTATGCTAGTTGTTGCGCTATGCGGACGTCATGCGCTCGTGAGCCTTCACGCAACCCTCCGTGCAGTACGATCTTTGTGTTTGCTCTTTCTTTATGTCTGGATCGGTTTCTCGTCTTTTACGGGATGCAAGTTGCAACTAACGGTGATTGTACGCGGCAGTCGCTTTTACTCAGGTTGTGACTAGTATAGAAACACCATGTATTTTTGGAGTGTGGAACAACCGTATTGTACTGAAATAGAACTATTACATAAAAAATTGATAATGGTTGATTGGTGAATCGATGCGGGGAACAGTGGTGCGGGGAACTCTTCTCTGGTGGGGAGGAGGGGGGGGGGGGCTAACCTGACACTGTTGGACGTCGATTCATAGCATAGATCAGCCGAGGGTGCACAGCTTTTCCACCGTTTTAGTTCACTTATTTTTCACAAATTTCGCCACCATAGGGAAACCAAGAATATTTGTCAAAAAAGTTCCAACCTATTCCGTCTCCAACTTGTTGCGCCTAGCCAAGCTATTACCTTAATTTGCTTAAAAACACGTTGTGTACACACCCGCACTGAACGATGAACCCACATTTACCAAACTGAACTGATGGCCCCACTTGGGCCGCTAAAGGCTGATCTGATCCCAGGGTTTTTGTTGATCTATGCGTGTCACACCGGATTCTGACGTCCTTACCACTGATGATTCTGTGTTGGTCTCTGGGAGACCAATGCATGAGAAAGCACAGCTTCATGTACGGTACTGTTACCACATTTAATGTGCTGCCGCTCACTATCAGGGATCAGCTACTGATCTCTTTTAGTTATGTGGATTGCAGTGTTCGCCACGGGCCCCAAAATCCCCAGCCCAGCCCGGCCCGGGCCCATGGGTTCAGAGCCCGGCCCAGCCCGTAGCCCGCTCTTGGCAAATATTCCAAGCCCAGCCCGGCCCGGCCCGGTAAAAATAGCAATCTAGTTATTGTCTTAGTCTATTGCTATAATAAGCATGATTGATTACACTATTTTGAGAACAATTCAAATTGCATGAATATTAACATGGCAATCATGACTCCCTTCTTTTCAATGAATATAATCATTTCAAGCACCTATGGCACAAATTTTAACAGCAACAGCAAGCACCTCAGTCAATTAGGTCATGATTACACACCTATAAAAAGTTTACATGATTATATTAACTACATTCTATGAGTAAAGTTATCTTGCAAGCTGATGTGTGTGAACATTATCATTCATAATTGGTGACTCTAATGCATACTTGAAGGAAGTATTTGCCACATACTCTATACTTCCCAGCACTTACCAGCAGAAAAAAAAAGCTTGACTTATGGGAATTGATGAATCTGTCTGGGATTGACCTTGCTGTTAAATTGACTCCATAGATGCTGCAATATCAAAAGCCTGAGAAAGCATACAAAATAGGTGACACTAACTTTAGCACTGTCTTCCAAAAAAAAGAGAAAATCAATCCATTTATCAGCAAAACTGATCTTATCTATTTTCAATTCATGCCCACGTGTCAACCAAATCTCTGTGGACAACTATCTGCTACTTTCCTTGCTATTTTATGTTAGGCTCTTTTCAAGATATTGATATCGCTAGCAGCGTAAGCAGAAAACATGGTAAACTTGAAATGTCATTGGGTACTTTTGCGACTTTAACGCATCATCATCATCAATCAAAAATGAGCGAACACTTCTTTATTGTCGCAGCTGCGGCAGGTAGCGATTTTGACCAATTGTATAATAAAACATATATGATCAAGTTTTTGTTTTGTTTTTCGTTCGAGTTTTCAGACTTCGTGATTAAGGTTTCATTTTTATTTGTTTAATTTTGTTTTTTACCTTGAAACTTACTTTAAAAACGTATTTGTTTGATATACTGTTGTGTATATTACCTAGATGCCGCCACATAAACATAGGGCCGCCGCCATGATTGCAAATCTTGTTGAGAAGGGGCTGGTTTGTTGTGACTTATTTTGACAAATTTATGGACATTTAAAGAAGCTTTCGTCGCGAAATACTCTGTAGAGTTCGTCGTTACTTACAGTGTGTTTTGTGAGTATCCTTTTAAGGTTCTGTTCGTTAAAAAGCCGTCGGTGAAGGAAAAAAGACTGTGTTGGAATTGTCTCACTATCGCCATATATAAGTGTTAAACTTAATGTAGCCCTGTGGCCCATCATTGTTGAGTGGCTTCTTAGTTTTTGGAGTTGTAGTGCTAAGTAAGTTATTCTGATGACTACATTTTAACTTTTATTACAAACTAATGATGCTAGAGATTCTCTGATCTTTTTGGTTGCGGAATTTTTATGAAAATCCTATGTGTGACATGATGTGATATTGGATAATTCTCAAGATTCCCAAAATTCAATATCAAGTAGGTTTTCTTTCACATTCCTTAAATTTGGTTTAGTTTTTGTATTTTCCCAGTGGGTTTTGTTTGCATCAGTTTCCAAATTTTCTTAAATTGACATTAGTCGCAAAACCCATAGTGCACAAAGCTCTTGGCCCGGCCCGTCCATAGCCCGTTAACTAATGATATTTGGGGGCCCGGCCCAGCCCGTAGCCCAGCCCGGCCCATGGCCCGTTGGGCTGGCCCGGCCCGTGGCGAACACTGGTGGATTGCGAACGACGTGCGAGTGCATATGGGTTCATCACCGTGCCTGAACGAGCGTGTATACCTGTGTTTCAGTCATCTCCATTGTTATGACTCAAACTCAAGAAAACCCATATTTTGTGGATGAGTTTTGAAGTGTACGATACAATACAATGCAATGCAACGCCGGTCCCTGATGGTCTCACGGCGGTGTCCTAACACCCGTGCCGGTCTTAGAAGCTTGTACCTATCAGTGCTATGGCCTCTGGGAGCCCTTTACAGGTTCCTAAGGACCTACGCCAGTCACTGAGGGACCTGCGCAGGATTCCGAGGAGAGGACCCACGCCAGCCTCTGAGGACCCATGCCGACTTCTGAGGACTCTATGACGGCCTCTGATGGCCCACGTTGGCTCCCGAAGGTCCCATGTCAACTTCTGAGGGCCCACGCTGGCTCCTGAAGGGTCTTGACGACTTCGCAATACTCCACGCTCGCCTCCGAGGGCTCCGTGTTGGTATCCGCATGTGGCACAGACCGCAGGTCCCTGAGGGCTAGTTGTAGAGTCGTAGACCTCCTGGAGCCAAATGTAAGTTGTAAATAATAAGAATTAAAGTATGATGTGGCAAGTCTGACTGATATTCGTACTGAGGATTGCGTAGTGTGTTCGTATATAAAATTTGACGGAAACCGTAGGGGCTCACTAAAATGGCTTTGGAATTCAAACGTCGATATCTTATGAAATGAGGCAGGCCCAGCTTAACTTTCATTATTTTCGTAATAACGACGATGAGGTAGGTACAGTGGGTCTATTTAAGATCTCCAGAGCCACCACGTGGCGCTACGGTCGGGGTAGGGCGAGTCCAAATCCCGAGGAAAGTCAGGTCACCGGTCATTGTGGGGGAAGGAGGGAGGGGGAGTGACGCGGTATCACGGCGCATGGGGCGTGCTTAGCGCCGGGAGTGGGCCGCCCAGGGCCGCCCGCCACTGCGCCGAGGCTGAGGGGAGGGGATAATGGTTGCGGGTGCGTTCACTCCGGTATGGTGGTATCCTGTTCATGTGGAACCGGCAGGAATGCGACTGAAGGGAATCATTATCTCAAACAAACGGGCAAGCCAGAGGCAGCGTCAGTTCCAGCCAAAATGTTGAACAATGATAATTGAAATCTAGGACGTATTCATAGCATGCAACTATTCAGTCGATAGTTGCATGATGCTTTTCATGATGCATGATGAGGCTTTTCTAAACTGTTATTTGAGTTCAATATTTTTCATTTGGCACGTTCAGTTTTGGTGGGGTTTATCGGGTCGAAAAGAAGCAGAAAAGAAAAAAGAATTGAAATGGCTCCAGACAAATGACCAAAAATATTTTCTTAAAAAATGAAACTTGTTAAACATTTTTAACCCTCGCATGTGTAGGGGGGGGGGGGTCGGATGGACCCCCCATGGTTTTTCGCGAATAACTCGCGTAAAAAGCGGCCGATCGCGACGAAACTTTCAGTACCCTCGCATTGATCAATTTTACACCTACCCTGAAAATTTCATGACCCTGACCCAAATGACCTTTGACCTGTGACCTCTTTTCCGAGACCATGTTTGGCCGGAATCGCGATTTCGCGTATGTCGGCTCGCACTAGCCGCGTGTTTGCAAGCTTTTCGTGGTTTCAAACGTTCAAACATGTGATTTGATGTTACTCCCGTGTGTGTCAAGGTCACCTGAAGGTCAGGTCAGGTCATTGACCTTTGGTGACCTCGGGTGACCTCGGGTCACTTTTTCGAGTTTTACATGTTTCTAGGCTAGTTTTTGGAGCTGAATTCGAATTTAGCAACCATTTGAACATTTACGAAGTAGTTTTGGTGACTTCGTAACATGTTACGAAGCTGTCAGAGGCGGTTGACACGTACTACGAATACCCGTCACGACGCCTACTGGTTGACCTGACCTGACCTGACCCGACCTGGTCTAAATGCTTCAAGACATCATCTGTGATCAAAACTAACACGATATTCGTGATCAGCACCCCGAAAAAACCCTTAGCAGCCACACTTTACGACTTTCTAACAGGTCCCGATTTTCCCGACTTTGGGTCATTGACCTGACCTGGAAGGTCAACCAATGACCTAGGACCTTAAAATTGGGTATCATCGGCTTCCTCTCGTCACGGGCAACACGCTCGTTTTTTCCGCGAAGCTCTAGCTCGATCAGGGGCCAAACGGCAAGGGGGGGTCCAACCGACCCCCCCCCCCCCTACACATTAGAAGCTGGCAAACGCCGCACACATGCGAGGGTTAAGCTATATTTTTGACTTTTGGAGGGGATATTGGGGAAAGGTATTGGGGAAAGATGTCATCGTGCTTAGGTATATGTGTTGCAGTAGAAGGAAAGGTTTTGGTTCGTGTCTAGATAAAACCAGACCCGGGAGTGGGGCTCGAACTCACGACATCGCATTCAGCTCACAGGTTACCCAACTTCAACGCTACGAGCACCTATCGCCCTGCGCAGCTTGCTCAGTGTTTCGGCTAAAGTTCGGCCAAAGTGTCTGACGTCTGTCAATGTCACGAGGCGAAACCCCAAGGTAAATGTCCGTCCCGGTAGCTCGGTCGGTAGAGCGTTGGACTCTATGTGCCATGTGGTGAGAGCGCACGTCCCGGTTGCAAAAGTCCGGGTTCGAAACGCGACGTGTGCTTGATGTTTTT